CCAATTTATCGATGCCTTCACAGTTGTTCGAAATACACAACTCTCCTCGCCACGGCACTAGTATTTCACAAACAATTGAGATGTTTTAGATCTTCCGTTAGGTCCATTGGTGTCTTTTGCCTATATATTCAGCGACAGAATGGGTTGCTTGCTCTCTCAACTCGTCTTTAGATGTAACTTCTTCCATTTGAGTGCTTTTTTTCCGAAACTCCGTTGCACATTTCAGGGTAGTCGAGCTAGTATATTTTTTGTAAGAAATACTGAGCCATAGATTTCTGTCGACACACTCCAGGTCGAGGGTTAAATAGGCACAACCGGTAGGACAAATCACGTTCATTCCGAATAGTTTAAGTCACATCAGAGCAGCAGTAGTGTGTGAAACCGGAACTAGGTCGATTTCTGCTTGCAACCATCACGGAGAATGACGGCTGATGGCATCGTTTTCCGTTAAACTGTTATGCTACTCTTAAACGGATCTGCGGCAGCACTTTACCACAATTGTCTAACAAGCGATCCGTCATGCTCAGTTGAAATTGTAAGAATCTATTGTGGGAAATAAAAGACCTTTTAAGGTTGGTACATTTTGAGATAGATATTTGCCCTAAACTTATGAAACCTAGGATTCGAATTCAACTAAATTTCTGATAATTCGCACTCACTGCTCAGTAGGTAAAGTTAATAAATGATGTGATCTCCATTGACTGAATTGTTCTACTAATGTGTTATTTCTGACTTTTAATCCAACCGCAGAAACAGCACATCGGATGCTGAATCAGAGGGTCCACCAAAACGTAAGTTTTGAAACGAGGAACTTGATAGTTCACTGAGGTATCTGACTGTGCTTTTGGGTTCACCACCTATGGCTCCTTTGTGACAAACTCTTCTTTACTACATGCTTGACAGAATCTCCGGGTCCAGTACCAAATGCAGCCAGTCACGGAGACTTGGACAAAGTAAGCGGCTGTAAACCGCAAAATGTGCACATTGATTTGTTTTTAATCCAAGGAGTTTTGTTCGGTGAAAGTAGTTCGTTAAAAATGATGAATTTCTTGGTTCATTTGGTGCCAAAATTATTCCAAGTATAGACTAGTTTTCAAAATTCTTGCTCAAGAAAAAGACAGCTGAATGTTATTGATTATTCAGAGAGGACTCAAAACCACCTAAAATTTGGATAGGTTCACGTCATACCGTTTCTTGTGCAAAAAATGAACAACGTTTATGTTTGCCTATTTTGTAACACAGGTGAACAACTTGAAGGTATTACTTTTAAAGTTCTGCAAGCTGAGAACGTTTTTGACAAAATTTAAAATATATCCCTATTGGTATTGCCTGAGGTGAGCACTCTTTACGTTAGTGTTTTGATCCAACAAATTGTACATCTTACAGGTATATTAAAGATATTCTCTTCAGTAATAATTATTACGTTTGATAGCCTTGAAAATTCGTATACTGAATAAGATGATGCCGATAATTAGAGATATCTATAGGATTAGTCTCATTGCGCAATGATCCGGGATCTTTTCGGATATGGCGGAGCCCCACTCAAGCGCAAATGGTTGAATAGTTGTCGGAAGAACTTTGAAATTAGTTGCAAGCTTTCTGTTTAATTGGGAGGGGGGGCATATTTTGCCAGATTCCTAGATGTTGTTAGCATTTCCGGTCAGCTTCGATTCGTTCAGTTTTGCCATCAAAAGAGATAATATACACGGTAGACAAGAAGTATCGAGGTCAACACTGCAGCTGACTGATTGACTGACCGACTGACTGACTGACTGACTGACTGACTGACTGACTGACTGACTGACTGACTCTGTGACTGAAAGACAGTTTTGTCAAAGTGGGGCTAGTTTTTGGAACTGGGCTCGTTGATGTTAAGATTATTTTCAGCCAATCGGCAACGTGGTGTTTTAGGTCGTGTTTTTAATAGTTTACGAACATGCCGAACAGGAAAAGAGAACTGTAAGTAAGGAACGCCTGTGAATAGGTAAACACATTGCTGATCGATGGCCACAGAATTGTCTGGATAACAGATGACGCAGTATGTCCGAAGACAAAATTAGTTCACCGCATGTCTGAATGGATGAAGATTTTTGTCCGGGGTTGACGTTAAGCATTCATTAAGGGCTTCCACTCGTTAGAGTAGAGTTAGAGAGCAACCAGAAAAGAACATTCAAGACCCACGCACAAAATTGCGTGGATAATGGTTGTTTAAACTGAACCAAACTGATTAAGTTCCCTTATAGGTCTGTTATTTTGAATCCCGTCGAGTGCGAAAGTGAGAATGAAGTGCGAATGTTTGCAAATACTGGAGCAGAACCCATGACAAAGATATTGGGGCGAACCAATGAATGTTCAGCCGAGATAAAACGCGTTTAACCAAGATGACTGGAGACCAATTAACCGATAAACCTAACTAGGTTCCCAAAGGGTATGAAATGAAACCCATTCATTTGTGTTGAGAAAAGTTGCACTGCTCTGTATCCGGGTGAATAACTGTCAGAACGGATCTCACTAGTTTCACGATTCGATTAAACTGGAATGATCGAAAAATAAAATGGGATCTATTGAATAAATTCACACTATGTTCTACTAGCTGAAGAACGAATATTGCGTAGCTGATTTTTGTGATGTCTAAAACTCTTCGGTAATACCGGTCGTGAACACAAAACTGTCAGTACACAACTCACTACCCGTTGGGCTCACCTACTCTGTGAGCATATTCGTTACACTTATTTGAGAAACACTGGAAATCTAAAATTTAATAAACAAAAGGTTGACAGAACACTTGATGTGCATATCTGTTTCAACGTGTGTGTAACCAAATGAATTTCAATTCGCAGAAAAGCAGTAATATGCTCACAAACTGCCTTCTTTTAAATTGATCACAATACCTTGTGGTGACAGGTAAAACATCAGCTAACGCGATGCAGTTTGCACTGGAATCTTTCAATTGTGTATGAAATAATCACTGCTGCTGTTAGTTCCGTAGATGAACCGTTGGCATGATGCTCAGTGCTTCGGATGTTCCAACGGACTACCCATTGTGTCGATACCACGCGATCTTGATAAAATCGGAAGCGTTTACCACATTCGTCTGCGTGCTTTCAGTGTACACGCATTGCGAACTGTGCGCATCGTTGCATGTGACCATCAGTCAATTCCCGTCACACTGTTTGATTGAACTAGGTGAAGAGTGCTCAGTGCGCATTGCTTGCATAACGGTTTGAAATAAAACAGATTGAAGATATTGACTGAACTAGTTGGTAAAGAAACAGATTCACATGAGTTCTGGAAAAAGCACGCAAAATTTCTGTCTCAAGACCCCTAACATGTTGCTTGAATTGAGCGCACAGTGAATAATTGAATCCAATGCATATTTCGTTTGTTGACTCCAGTTTTTAGTAACAAATGAGTCGCAGTCATAAGTATGAAAGTTTTAAAAACAGTGCACGGAATGCGCTCAACTCAGCGCAAATTAAGCTAACTCAGCTACGTGAAAAACACAAGCAGGTGATAAATCAATAATGTCAAATAGGACAACGGAGTGCGAAAAACAATCGATGTCTATCAAAGGAAAACAAAATTTAAGGGAATGCGGTTTATTGTGAGACGTCTTATGGTCTAACAATTTGTGGTTCGTTTGTGGATATTCACCTATGAAAGCCGAGCAGTAGATGATGTATCTGGAAGTGCCAAATCACTAAGACTTAGATAGTAAACATAATAATAATTTTTATTGCATTAAATCAACGGCTATGCTAGTTTACATTGTTGATGTCTGAAATGATTTATTGGACGCAACGAGACTAAGTAAAAGCAGTGGGGAATTCGTAGTGACGAACAGCCAGACAGTAATGGCAAAACACCGTTTTATCACAGTGCTGAGGGTGGGAAAACTGTGACTACTTCAAATCGCATGTCTGCAACCTGGTTGGCATTCGATTGGAATCCGGAAACCAATCGTATGTGAATGTGTGACAGAACAGTGACCGGACCAAAGATCCGGTTACTCAACTTTAGCATTGGACATATCATAATGCACACGGTTCTTACTGGTTTGAGAGCACCGGCCAGATCAAACCATTTTGAGAAATGTCTTACAATTCCCACAAATGCAGTTGTAAATTTGCAAAATAACTGCTTGTCACTGAGCCTCGTAAGCAACTGGAATTCTTCTAAGTGGTACAAATAAGGGGGTTCCCATTTATGGTGCAACAACAATGAGATTTTCTATACCAAACCGGGGTTAGGGGTTGTATGCAGCAGATTTATTGTTCACGGTCAATCACGTTAGGAGATGAACGCTAAGGACAGACAGTTGTTATATTCGTGCTGGGAATCGATAGCGGGGTATAGACATTCACACTTCGACAGCTTGAGTCTCAAGATGCCTGATTTTGAACCATAAGCATGATCATCACGCTGTCCGGGGTGAATTCAGCAGCTGGTTCCTGTGGCCGTTGTTAAAACTGAATCCGGCACGGATATTGATTCGAGCCGGTCAAAAGCGCAATGAATCTGCTCCGCTGACGGTGCCTAACACCATATCGGATACGAATGGTGTACACGATCTCCACGGCTTTCCATTGTTATGTCTAACATGCTAAGATCACCTGGTTGATCATTCATAATTCTTTGCTTCAGATCAAAAGGCAATCAATATCCTTTTCGCTCTTTAAGCAGCAAATATTTCTTTGTTTTATTTGTGATATTGGGTGCCACTCTTACAGAGTACGTGCTCCCGTATCCGACTACGAAACCACATCAAGCTCAGACATCAGACCATGAATACGGAACAATGGAGCTTTTGCTGTTTGATAATTGCAAAATCTCCAAAAATAACATGTTTGACACCGGTCTGGTTTCAATAAGTTACTGATTGACCCTAAGCTGAACCCATCATGTGCAATAAGAACTGTTAGGCAAGTAAAATGGTGCGTTTCATTTGAATCAATTATTCTCAAGTGGTACTCGGTAATTTGTGCTTCTCAACTTCTGAAATGTTACTTCCTTTGCAGATCGAAGGACACCGAGGTTTACTGGCCAGGCGATTCAGTCCGTTCCGGCTACCGAGTACGTATCATTCGCTCAAAGATTCTTGTATCACGTGACACATGGCGAAGAGCACAATGTGAACTCTGAGATGTCACGTATCTGGTTCTGAGTTGGATTTGTATGAATTCACCTTCATGTATGATTTCCGGTTTCTGTTAGTCAGAACAAACGTTTTGTTGAAAAACAGAAAAGGGTTTTATTCTGTATCTATGATTAAGCTTGAATAACAGATAAGGGGGCAAAAGGTACTCAACCGGTAACAGGATGAATCTCCGATTAAATTATTCTCATCTGTGTTAACAGTGATGGTCGCTGAAAGGAAGAGAAATGCCACGCAAATTTGATGGAGGATCGCTGTCCTAACAAGCTTTTTTATTTGCTACAGGTTAGGTTTTATTTTTTAATTCCTACGTTTCTCCCACTCACGAATTTTTACTTTCACTATTCAGTTTCAAAACTAATATCTGTTTCTCTTTCACGTTCTTACAATTTGGCCTATGCTAAACTAATTACTAAAATTAGCTCAACATTGATAGAACGATTGTAAGAACTGTTTTTGACATGGTTACAAAATAATCAAAGAGTTATATTGCTTATCAGATTCTCGTCTTCAACTACTATTTGGTATTCCCGTAAACGCGGTCAAGCTTTACCATTGAATCATTTAATTTTTAATGTGGAACAAACTGCAGTTGCAAGGCTTTCTCCTGAAAACGTTTGATTTTTCCGATAAACCGCATAGGCTAATGGAGATGAGCTCAAATAGGCATTTTTAAAGTTTTGTAGTTGTGCCTATTTAGAAATAGCACACGATTAGTAAAATCGATTCTTCATTAACCCTGAACAACTCAGGGCTTCGATGTAGTCGCTGAAACCGTATATTAACATCTACAGTACCACCATTTGACGCTTTGATTGCTGGGTAACTTCAAAACTAGACAGCTCTGATAGGTTCACAATAAAATAGTGAGATTAGCAAAATCACGATAAAGTGATCTATATGTTGACTGGTAATATTGCTGAAGAAAACTGTACCTATTCGATTCTGCTGGCGCATACACATACACAAACTCCTTTGAGCGTTTCACTGAGAAACTTAGCTGCCACGCATTTCTTCAAACTTCTTCATTAGTGTCTATTGACTGTCCGAATCACTTTAAGTTGTTTCCTCCGGTTCAGCGTTTGATTCACTAAAAGACGACAAAAGCTAAATTATACGGGCTTACTGACCGATTGAAGTGACAAACCTTAAAGTGAACATCACGGTTTGAGTAGTCATTAACTTAACGAATTCGGAAACTATGAAAAATTCCTCAATAAAATACAGCTGCTCGGTACACCGGCACACGAATGATGACAGGCTCGGTTTTTCCTGTCCATATACTCTGTGTACTCATGAGTAGTCAACAGTTGCATGTTGAAATTTGAATATTTCCAGGATTCTCCGAACATCGGGATCAGTGTTGTGGACATCTGAAAGAGATTGATGACTTGCGACTTCTTGTGATGAAACTTAACCATCGAATATATCTAGCTGAAACTGGAGTTAGAGCAGACTCTAACGAGAATTTCGCGATACCGCCTACTACTCCAGACTGGATCAAAGACCCGGGGGAGACATGTGTTCTGTTGGACAAATATGAGAAGAAGCTGGATGAACAAACAATGTTGTTGAATGAGTACGAGGTGAGTGATTCGAAAGAGCAGTTTGTGACTGGCAATAAAGCTATTTTCCGAAGAACAGCCGTGCTCAAGTTGTGTGTCTGTACTTTGTACTGATGCTTTATATGTACGGACGCATCTGGTGGTGTTTCAATTTTTCTTTGGGTTCACTTTTTCATGACTTACAGAGCACAATACGTGTTATGCGTGAAAAATTGGAGAGTGTGACGAAGGAGAAAAACCGGCTATCTGTTGAACTCACCAGACTCCGATATGTTCAGCAAGATTCGAAAATAGCTGAAGAGATTCCCCATTTCGGTCACTATTCGACTTTGGATTTGGGCAACTCGTAAGTTGTTCGTTCAACCCGATTCTTACCTAATCAGTTAAGAAGGGATCATGTTGATTCG